CCAGGAGTATACCTTACCCATAATCCAATTCAGCAATAGTCAAGGGAGATAATAATGAAGAACATGAAAAAGGTAGAGCATGAAGCCACAGGGAATGCTGGGTAAGGGAGCTCCTCCCTGAGATCAGGCACAGGGACTAATCAGGTATTTCCAAGTTAAGTCACTGTAAGTGGTTCCACAGAGCCCACTTAGGTTCTACCGCTGCTGTGGACCATTCTCTTTTAATGTTTCTCCCATTGTCTTGTGAATGAGAGTGTTGGTATTCTTTCCAAGTACTCTGACCTCAATTATCCATTTTATACTTGAAGATAGGGAAAGAAGGAGGGTATTCATTCTGAGTTTATTTATCTCCAGATCATGAGGAACTACATCCAAAAGTGGTAAGAACTACCTATTATCCAGAAACTCTGCGCTTGAAACTGAAGTTTTTGTTTTGAAATAGAGACTGCCTCATAGGACCGTGGGTTGTATTCACAGGGAGGTACAGATGTGTTCTATGTGTGCGGTGAAGAGTACAGTTGGTGATTTAAGAATAGACATAAAAATGTGGCAGATAGTAGGCAGCTCACCAAAATTCTTATTCTCCTCTTCTCCCTGACCACACATGACACTGCACCTCCTAGTCTCTTGTGCAGTTAAGTGTGATCAAGTGACTGGGTTCTAGCCAATAGACTATGCGGATTGATGGGTTAAAACTCTGTGTCCCCCTAAAAGATAAAATTCTAATGAATTTCAGAGAAAAAAATTACTGAACATCGTGCTATTAAAAAATTAGAGATTATCCCTTACTCTTTGAAGGTGAAAAATAATTTACCATTCTTCAGATGAAACTCTATATCCCCTTTAAGTACTTCTCAGCTCCCCTAACATACACACACACACACACACACACACAAACACACACACTTGCAAATAACCCCTGAGAAGCTATGAGATGTGTTGAAGGTGCTATCTATAGCCTGAATCAATGAATAACTGCAAAAAAAAAGGATGAATGGAGTACTATTCAGCTGTAAAAAGGAATGCAAAAGATTGCTATGTATTGTGATGGAGTCATTCCTCGTTATACTTTTACAAAGAAAAATAGACAGTACACATAGAATGCTATATATTAGCTAAGAAAAGGTAAACGTTCTAATCCATAGGAAAGGAAAGCAATGAAAGGAAAGAAACTAGGCTTCTCTGAACACATTGTTTTGAAGTTTTTATTTTAGTACCAAGAAAATTCATTAAACAGTCATAAACAAAATTACAAAATGAAATACTAATCTGCAAAAATCAAAATCAAAAAAGGCACTTATGTGATGGATAGTTTAACTAAAAAGTAAACTTGGTTCAAACGATCTTAAGACATAATTTTTCCTCATTAGGATATACCTTAGTAGAAATCTTAAAGCTGTTGTCAAATATTGCTAGAAAGTAACCCAAGTATTATTAATTTAAAAGTGCTATACACAGAGATGTACACAAAAATATGTAAATGTACTCTTAGAGGCCAAACTTTTCAGCATGAGAAAAAAAGAAATAGACATTAAAATTTGAATTGGAAGTACCATTATAAACTCACTAGAAATTTTTAAAAGAAGCTCTTCTGGTTAAGAGCATGATAATATTTACTTCAGAATTTATTGTACCTATGTAAATAAACGTGCCAACCACCAGCCACTGGTAAGAGAAAGGAATGGCTAAGAGGTTGGAATTAGGCTTAAAATGTATCAAGCAGGGTATATAGCTCAGCAGCACAGTGCCTGCCTGGTAAGGTCCTCAGTTTGATTCTCAGTACTAAAAAAAAAAAAAACAGAAAACAAATAGGTATCAAAAAGTCATCACAAGGTGTAATGAAGCAAATTCAAAACTAAGCATCTATACACAATGTATACATTTAATATTTTTAGATGCTCTCTGCCATCCCCAAGTTTCAAAGTTGGGGTACTGCTAGGCTTAGCAGTACATTTAACTTTTGTTTTAAAACAATAGAACTGCTATCCAAAGAGCCTAGGCCAGTGTTATCCCCACCTGTAATGCATGAAGACAATGAGTACTCTCAGTGTTTCCAATGTGCCTTCCCCATCTCTCCCTTTTCTTTCAATTTTCTTGTTTTCAGCTCAGGTATCTTCTATTAACTTACCTTCACTGATCACTGATTGTCTGTACTGTGCTCAAACTATTAATAAGCTAGCAAATGAGTCACTCATCTCCAACATCAAATTTTTCTTGTCCAGTGTTTTCATGTGAATTCTTCGTATAACCATCTTTCCAAAATTTCTCACCTTTTTTAGCAATAATCGTGACTGTGTGCACGTGTGAGTGTGTGTGTGTGTGTGTGTACACATGCGTATACACACATGAGAAATTGAACCCAGGGCCTTCACACTATGCTACAACCCCAGCCCTTTTTAGTTTTTCTTTGAAATAGAGACTCTCTAAATTACTAAGGCTGGACTCTAAACTGAGCCTCCTGCCTCAGCCTCCCCACATGCTGGAATTACAGGCATTCACTGCCAGGACCTGCTTAGTCTTGATAAAAGACTGATAATTCCAACCTCTTAGCCATTGTTTTCCCTTACCGGTGGCAGGTGGTTGGCATGTTTGTTTGCATATGTACAATAAATTCTGAAGTAAATATTACCATGCAGAAATGGACATGATTTCTATTCTGTCAGGCCATTCCTATGTGAAACTTAGGTGATTCCGTGTGTTATCTGCATTTGGATTCAAAGTACTACAACAATAGAATGCTACGACCTTGTATTCCTTATAAGGGCTGAAGTGCAAAGGAGATTTTGGGACTCATGTTCAGCTTCGGGAGTTCATCCACACACTACAAAAAAGACCCACTTTCCACATTCCTGTTCCTCAGTGCAGTTTCATGGTGGAGCAGTGGGGTGTTTTTCTTCTCCCCCAGCAATTGCCTTTATCACCAGCTATGTATTTTTCACTCAAATGTGGGGTTTCTTAGTGTTCCCATCACTCCCACAGTAACAAACTACTACCAATCCATGTAGCATCCTGGTTAAAAGTGGCTTTCCTCCTCCCACCCCAGTGGCAACACATGGCTTTTACCTCGTGTCCGTACAGGAATCTGCGGCAGGCACCCTTCCTGGCCTCCCTGAGTACCAATCAATGTCTCTTATCAGTGCAAAGTCTATCATGAGATTAACCGGTCCCCTTCTAGCAGCAAATGGCCTTTGCCTGGTATTCATGAACAATCCATTATAGATAGTTGTTTGCCTTTTCTCAGTGGCAGGTGGCTTCTGCCTCGTGTCCATATGGGACCCAGAGAAAATTTTCTGTCCATCTGTAGCAGCAGACCTCCAACATATGTCATTGCAGGTCCAGAGGAAGTTTCTTACTCGATTTGGTTCCAGAGCTTTTTGCTTGTTATCAGTAGGGTCCAAATTACAGTGGATAGTGCTCCTCAGTCGGCAGTGGCAGATCTTGCTTATTGAAGCACTCAGTACATAAGCTGTTCTCTTGCTTGCCCCCCAACAGTAGCCAATGACCACCTTTCAATTCTATGGGGTCTAAAATGCAGGCAGCCTTCTCTAGTATTTTTTTTTTTTTTTGGTACCTTGTGCTTGCCAGGCAGTCACTGTGCCACTGAGGTATATCCCCATCCCCTTCTCTAGTGCTTAGTTCAAACTTAAGTGGACCACATTCCCATGTACTTTAGATTCTGCTGCTGCTATAATAAATTATCACAAATTCAGTAACTTAAACACCACAATTTTACAGTTTTATACATCAGAATTCTAACACAGGACTCAGCTAAAATTCAAGTTGTCAGCAGGGTTGCACTGCTATCTGGAGGCCATAAGAGAAAATCAATTTCCTTGCTATTTCCAGCTACTAGAAAACATTTATAATCTACTTCTTTTGGCTTTTCTCCTCTCCTCTCCCTTCTTTCCTCTCTCTAGCTAAGACAAAGGCTCTACATTTAAGGAAGCCTTTAATTAGAGCTTCCTAAATAATCCAGGTGCATATCCTTGATCACATGTGCGAAGTTCTCACACCAAGTGAGGTCCCAGGATTAAAATATAAACAGATTTTGAGGGTCATTATTCTGCCTACCATGCCATGTATAAGAATCTTTCCTGGATCTCCTGACCTGTCTCCAGTCCTTCTTGCAAACCCTTAACAGCAGCCCAGAGAAAAGTGGCAGCGATTACAAATCACACTGTACCTGGGGATTCCACGGATCCTAAACTGAATTTATAACCTACTATTAAACAATATAATAATTGGTTAAAGTTGGACCCATTTTTTTCTGACATACGTTTATGGTAGATACTTCTCTCTCAGTCCTACCAAGATGAAACAACTTTAGCTGGAAGGGCTCATCATCTTTTGTAATTCGGTTTACCTGCTTACCTTGCAATCTCAGCTCTGAGTTCAAAGTAAACGACTTTGTGGCCCAGTAGTTTATCCTCCTTGTTAGAGTAGAAGCAATTTCTCCCCTACCTCTAGAGGAATTCTCAAATTATTTCCCATAATACATGCATGAATATATACATATACATCACACTCTTCCATACACATGGTTTACAAACATCAATTTTTTTCAATTTTTAATGGAAGATCAATAGTAGATGATGTCTCATGAAACATCGTTGGCCTCTGTAACCAAGAATACAACAGATTTTATTTATTTTTTTATTTTAAAGAGAATAAAAAATAATTTTAAAAAAATTTGAAACGATACAGAATTTCAAAAAACAAGATATGAATTCAACAATGGTTTTTAGATTGCATATTGTTGTCTTCAAAGTAGTTGTTCACATCAGCAGATATAAGCATGCAAAATTGGTCAAAAAAATTTAAGCATTAACTACGCCTTTCAATAAACCAATAGAAACTAGTAGTACAATTATCTTAACTATCGTGTGTGTGTGTGTGTGTGTGTGTGTGTGTGTATTTTTTTTCCTTTCTTTCTTTGCTTTCTCCTTTCCCTCATTCCACTTGTTCTTTCCTTTTGAGCAGTTTCTTTCCTTTCCACAGCATCTATTGTACCTTTCAGATTTTATTTACTCTTTCAGGCTCTTACAACAGATTTTAATAATTTGACAATTATGTTCCATTATCTAAAAGAAGTAGAGAAGGGAAAGGAGAAAAAAATCTAGAAATGAGTACACATTTAGCTATGAGAATATTCTATATAAATGCGTCAGATTTGGTATAAAATTTTTTTAATACTAGGATCAACAGAAAAATGAGAAATTATAGCTTTCAAGGTCTCAGTGTTTTTTTATAGTGACAGGTCTTCAGAAAACGCTGAATTTGTTTGAAATGCTGACAGACCAAAGACTCCATCAGAATCATAATTATATGATTAATTCTATACTTCATCCTGAGAAAAATTAGCTGCCTTCACTTTAAAAATATTATTTGGTAGAAAGCAAAACAGAGAGTTTTAAGTAACTGATCAATGACTAAAGGCAAAATTGGTTTGTTTTTTTGTTTTGTTTTGTTTTTTTTCTAAGCTAATCAGGAACAGGCATGAGAAGGGATTGGCACAAGGAAGAAATGGAAGACAGAATAAGAACACATAGTCTTATATAGTTGGAGATAAAAGATGCAGGGACTTAATGATTTCTCTGTGAATGCTGAATAGCTCTATGAATTGTTTCAGTTTTAAGATAGAAAAGATTTTAATTGTGTATTGAAACTATACCCATTCTCCTGGTCATTCATTTTGCACTGCTCTTCAGCTCTATACCAGTATTTTAGAGGCTGTCATAAGTAATCAGTTCCTCTAGCTTCTGGGGTGCCACTGGTACCATAAAATATCAGACGAAATTGTATCTGGGAACACACAATTAAGCTTTACAAATTTCAAAATGATCTGGTATTTCTGTCAGTTATGTCATTAGAATATACAGAAACAGAAGTACACTAGCCTACAATAATTATAATTTGAATAGCTACTATAGATAATCAGTACTGGGGAGATATGGGAGTGTGAACAAAGATTTTCAGACCTAGACTGTAATAGAAGGTTATGATTGCAAACCACGCAGGTGCAATAATCCATGAATGTAGGTTTTATTGATGACAACTACAGTGCTTTCTAGTTAAAATGGAAGCTTAGTGAAGGTGATGAAATGTGTATCATTTAAACATCAGAAAAGCAATGTGGCTATGGGAGACGGATTATGTTAATTTAAGGGTTTTAAGGGTATGGAAGTACTTCAAATGTTAGCAGTATTTCAAGCTTTGCAGCCTAGCCCAGGTTTCTCATGTGCACTTGCATGTTGAAATAAAACTGCAAATTTGATACTTAATCTGATCTCATTTGTGGGAATATGATTTTGTATATATGCAATGCAAAATCAAAAGGTAGCAGGGGTGTTATTGTTTGATTTGCTTTAGAAATTTGCTACCTGCAAGCTAAATAGTCCTAGTAAGTATACAGGAAGACCCATAGCCTATGACTATGCCCTAACAGTACAATTAAATACATCAAAAAGAGAGCAATCACATAGCACACAAACAGGAGTTTTAACCCGATCTAGACCTTACAAGCTGTGTGCCCTTGAGAAAATTACATAATTTCACTTAGCCTTTTCACTTGAAAGTGAAAATACTGGTGCGACATTCCGTACACGTTATATAACACGCCGGTGGCCGCTCTTCCACTGGTTAACTCTGAATACCACTGCAAGCTGACAGGAAGGGGCGGAGCGCCGTAGCAGCGAGCGCCGTCGCAGCGAGCGGGGACTGCAGGACGCGCAGGTGTGCGCTCGGCGGCCGCTTTACCCTCGGGTGCTGGCTGTGGCAGAGGTCTGCGGAGACTGCAGGGGCCTCCGGCTTCAGGCGCTGGGCGGACGGTGACAGCTGCTCCATGGCCCCTGCGGCGCCTCCCTCCTCCTTGGCCATCCGGGCCTCAAGCCCAGCAGCGGCCCCCTCTTCATACGGGGTCTTTTGCAAGGGGCTCTCCCGTACCCTGCTCGCCTTCTTCGAGCTGGCCTGGCAGCTGCGCATCAACTTCCCCTATTTCTACGTCGCGGGCTCTGTGATCCTGAACATCCGCTTACAGGTACACATATAAAGCCGCGAGCAAGCTGCGGGCCTCCGGAGGCCACCAGGATGGCGGACTCCCAGGAGGACTCGGGGCACTGTGAACCACTCAGTCTCGCGAGAGTTCTCGGGGGCCGTCTGCGCGTGCGCTGTTCACTCCTCGCGCTGTCTCTGGGCAGTGGCGGAAATCCTGTTGACACTAGGTAAGGGAGAGATGCGGTTCCGGGAAAGGAAGCATTTCATCTAAGGCCCACGAAAATGTTAAGAAGCCACGTATCTTTAAACTGGACTCCAGACAGATTTCAGGACAAGACAAAAGCCACAGAATACATTATGAAAAAGGAAGGCCAATTTTTTTTTCAGAAAAAAAAGTGACGTGAATAACAAATTTACGGTGTAAATTAAAATTAAGCAGTCAGTGAACTTCAGAAATAGCGGACTGGATTGTAAGCCAGACACTGAAGAAGAAAGCCATGGTGTTAAAGGTATGAAGTGGAAGGCGTGTATTTCTTCACCCCACAAGAAAAACATTGGAATTCTCAGTAAAAAACAAAACTATGCAAAAACACATCTTCCAAAAATACTGGACCTGAAACGCTACGAGATTTTGAACAAATGGTGGAAGCGTGAGAAAATGGAGTCTAACTTCGTGTGAACAGCGCTTGGATTAGGACCTTGGGGGCAGAGAAAAGGAAATGTAGTCATAGCGTAAAACTTGGATATTTTGTGAATAACATTTAAATAATTACAATGCAAATGTGTATGATTTTCATCTTTAAAGGAATACTTAATCATGACTATAAAGAAGAATATAAATATTATTAGCCATGATGTACAAATACATAGACAAGTGGCAGTGTTGGAAAAGGGGGAGGAGGTAAATAAAATGGTTTAATGTACTAAAAATTGTGAAGTTGAGAGCAATCTGTTGTGGAGGAGAAAGAAAATATTATTAGTCATAATGTTTCTAAAACAGTAATATAACTGTATTAAAGGGAAAACTTGATAGGGCAAAAGACTATGATGTCAACAGAAAGTGCTGAAAGATGGGGAGTTCAGTGGGATTTCTCAAAAAGTACTGTTAAAAGCACCCGGTATATTTGAGTATATTGGAGATGTTTCATTTTTTCAAAGTCCAGGAATGGATTAGTAATGTGCAGATACTTCAAATTTAAGAAAACCAAACTGTGGTAATAATAAACACCAGGAAAAATAAAAAGTTCAAAACCTATACTGTGTATCTCAACTGTGGTACTAGTCATATAAAATCCCTCAATTATTTCAATATTGGCCACTGATTTAACAAAAAAATGACTAGCTTTAAGAAGATGAGAGAGAAGGGAGATGTGTGAATAATGGTGGAAAGGTGATCAAAAATCTAACATAGAAGGCTGGGCATGTTTGTCCAGCATACAGGAGGCCCTGGCTTTAATCTTTAGTCCTGAAAATAATAATCTAAGAAAGTTTACAAAAAGAAGTATAAATTATTTGCTTTTGGTGAGGGAGTTGGGCTTTTTGTTTTGTTTTGTTTTGTTTTGCAGTATTGGGATTAAACTCAAGGCCCTTACATTGAACTATACCCTCATCCCTCATCTCACACCCTCCCCCTACACATACACACTTTTCTTTTTAAAGACAGTGTTTCACTAAATTGCCCTTGCTGCTGGGCTGGAAATTCATATCCTCCTACCTCAGCCTCCCAGGGTACTCAGACTATAGATGTGCACCTCTGTGTAGACATGTATTTTTAAAAAAGAAAAACATTCAATAATAGCTAGGAGTTAGATGTGGTGGTTTCTGGAGAAAGAAAATTGGGTAGAAAAGGAAAGGCAAAGGTTTGCTAAATTACTTATTTTTAATTACGTATAATTTTATTTGATTAAAAATTAATTTAAGTAACTTTCATTTTAAAAAGTTCTTCAGGTATTTGAAATATACACCACTGGTGAGAAGCCATAGAGGAGAATAGAAATGAATTTTTAAATCACACAGACCTGGTTGGAATATATCTCTAGTTTTGTGGCCTTAGGTGAGTTCACTACTTTTCTTAAACCTGTTTCTTCAACCATTAAATGAAGGTAAGAATACCTACTTTAAATGGTTAGTCTAAGAATTAGAAATAAGCCTGCCTTAGCACCTTTTTTCTCCCTCTCTCCCTCTCCCTGTCCCATTCCCTCCATGTCTCTCTCTCACTCTGTCTCTCTCTGTCTCTCTCTGTCTCTCTCTGTCTCTCTCTCTCTCTCAGAATATCACATTAAACTGTGGACAAAGCATAAAATGGAATACAGAAGCTCTGCTTTTCCAGAGCTGGTTTTGAGTCCTAAAGGTGACAGGGTACTGACCCTGAAGGGTAGGAACGAGCCTCTAGCATGATTCTAGGTGAGATAGCTGAGCAGAAAACAAAAACAAAAACATTATTTCCTGACATAGAGGTTTAAACTGGTTATGGTGTTCTTTACTTGTGTCCAACAAACAATACATTATGATTTTAAAATAAGAAAAGTCCAAGGTCGTGAGTTCGGTTCCTGGTACCGGAGAAAAACCAAAAAAAAATAAATAAACAAATAAAATAAAATAAAATAAAATAAGAAAAATCTTGACCTGTTCAGCATCAAGTTTAGCTTTGGGTGATTTTTTTTCCCACTGTTTAGTCCTTGTCTCTAGCCAAATTTTATCTAGAACACCTTCCTCTTCCTGCTGCTTTCTTTACCATTTTTCTGCCTATATTCTTCCTGTGTCTGACGGCTAAGTTTAGATGGCATATTTTTACATTAATTTTTCACAAATTCCCCTGACCAAATAAAAGCTCTATTAATACCAACCAGTGCCATTTTCATAGGCTACCTTATTTTTTCTGAATTGTGCATTAATTTTCTAGTTTTGTTTTATATATCCAAGGAGACAGATTTTCTGGACAGTTACAGACCAGAAACCAACACATTTTCCTCTAAAATATCAAAAATACAGTTCACGGAATAAAATTAAAATCTCATGGAACTTAGAATGGTGGGCACTTACAATTTCCCAGAGACACTAATGTCACAATTTGTTACATTAAAAAAATGTGCCTGGCATTAGCAATGAAATGGTGACACAAAGTAGGTTACTTCATTTTGGTGGCAACATGAATATATGCTTCCTCTAGCTTTTTTCCTCATATCAATCATTTGCTGCATTGAAGAAATTAGGCCACTCTGTAACATACATAATTTTATCATATCCTCCAATCAGACTGGAAATTCTGAGGAGGAAAATACTGTGTCCTATCCAATTTCACATAGTATCAGCAAATATACAGTGATTCACCCTTTATTCTTCACAATTGCTCCCAAACCTTGATGTATATTTTTCTTCCCACACACTGCAATTCAGTAAAGTTTCCTAGGGAAAACACTAGATTTATGCCCTGAATAACTACTTACTATTCTAACTCACAACCTATTTTGTTCCTGTTGGCACATATAGATAACATCCATGAGGCCAATGATGTATAGGTTTCTTGCTCTATTCCCAAACCAAGCACATTGCCAGATACAAAGTGGATAATAAATGTTGCCGAATGGATAAGCCAATGCCAATATATTCAGTTATTTTATACATACTCATCAATCAGTAAAGGAAACGAAGATATTTTTCCCATTGGTATTGTCCATAAATTAACTTTTTAGGCCATCCTACATATTAGTGCAGAATTGCTCGATCATGAGAAAGCAGAAAGGTGATACAATTATCATGAATAAACAAAAAACTTGCTTATGACTATAACTGATTTTAAAATCCTGCAGATTTAAAATCTTGGGTTCTTTCACTGTAAGAAGAAAATAATGAACATAGTAATACAGTACATATAACCACAGGGCTAGAGAAGGTTTTTTTTCCAAAGTAAAACTGTGATGCCAAGAGGGGAAAGCACACACATGCACTCGCACGCATGTGCACACGCACACACACAATTGCTATCAGCATAAATTTTTAAGTTTATTAAGTTCTTAATACTGAGAATTATAAAAAGTTATTTACATACGTTATATTAATAATTTTCATATGTACATGTCTTGGTTACTTTTCTCTCATTGCTGAGACAGAGTACCTAATGCACAGAATTAAAGAAGGAAAGGTTTATTTAGCTTACAGTTAATGGAGGTTTCAGTCCATACTCAGCTGGCTCCAAGGCAGAGTGGCACATGGCAGAGGGCAACAGTTCATGGTAGTGGGAAAACACCAAAAGCAACAAGAGCAAAAGAGAGGAGAGAATGCAAGCAGCCTCTTTCGTTCCTTACACTGTATGCAAACTATCCACCTCAGGGCAAGTGTAGCACTCACACCTATAATCCCAACATTGGACCATGAATCAATCATAAACTCTACAAGCCTGCCCCATGACTTCATGAGGCTTTGGGGGACATCCAGACACAAACCATAACAGTACTCTATGAGGAAAAAATGTATTATCACTCCTCAGATAAGAGACCTAAGAGAGATACCACACCCTTCAAAATAGCATTCAAAAAAGGAAATCAATCTAACAAAGAAGTAAAAGATCTATATACTGAAAATTACAATATTCTGGAAAAGAGATCAAAGAGGACTTCAGAAAATGGAAAAATATTTCTTATTCATGGATGGGAAAAACCAACATTGTAACAATGGCCATACTTCCAAAACTGTTATAAAGATTTAATGCAATCCAAATCAAAATACACCTATTGGCACACCTTACAATTGTAGAGAAAATATTCCTAAAATTCATCTGGAAACAGAAGAGACCTAGAATAGCAAAAGCATTCCTGAGCAACAAAATCAAAACAGAAGGCATCACAATCTCTGACTTGAAATTATACTACAAAACTACTGTTATAAAATCAGCATAGTACTGGCAAAAACCAGTCCTGAGGATCAGTGGAACAGGTTAGAAGTTGCAGACACAAATACAAACTTTCTCAGCCACCTTATCTTTGACAAAAGGGCCAAATATGCTCACTCGAAGAAAGATAGACTCTTTAATAAATGGTGCTCAAAAAAACTGGCTTTCCACATGCCAAAGACTGAAACTAGACCAGTGTCTATCACCAGGCACTAAACTAAAGTCAAAATGGATCAAAAATATAAATATTAAAACAGAACACTAAGTCTATTGGAAGAAAAAGTAGGTATAAATCTTGAAGACATGGGGTAGGCAGAAAATTCATGAATAAAAACCAAACTGCATGGAAAATACTTCAAAAAATCAACAACTGGGAGGTCATATTATTGACTATTTTTGCACATTAAAAGAAATCACCATCAGAATGAAAGGACAACATACAAACTGGGAAAAAATTTTATCCAACTGTCCCTGATACAAAGAACTTTTATCTATAACATATCTATATATTTTATCTATAACAAAAATCAGACTCCAAAAATTTAAACACCCAGTCCCCAAATGGGCATCTGAGATGAAACACACTTCTCACATGAAGAAATACAAATGGCAAATGAATGTATGAAAAAATGTTCATCATCATTGGTCATTCAAAAAATGCAAATTAAAACAACACTGAGATTCCATCTCACCCCAGAAAGAATAGTTAGCACGAAAAGAAATCAGCCAATAACAAATGCTGGTGTGCTGTGTGGGAAAAGAACCTTTCTCCACTGATGGTGGGAGTGTAGACTGGTACAACCACTGTGGAAATCAGTGTGGAGATTCCTCAATAAACTAGGATTAGCAGTCCCATTTGACCCAGCTACTCCCTTTCTGGATATTTGCCCAGTGGAATTGAAGACATCATACACAGTGGTATATATGCACCCATGTTTATAACAGAGCAATAGGTAATACCTAAATATTGGAAACAACCTAAATACCCATCAACCACAGAATCGATAAAGAAAGACGTGGTATTTTTATACAATGGACTACTGCTGAGCAATAAAACTAAACTTGAGGAATTTTTAAGTAAATGGATGCAACTAGAGATTATACTCATGAATGAAATAAATAAGTCTCACATGTGTAAACATCATATTTTCTCCCCAGTGTAAGATACTACAAAAGTAAATAAGATCCACAAGGTACAATAGATATTATGAAGGGAAAAGAAACTGCTCAACAAGATAGGTAGACATAAATAGCTAAGATAATTGTACTATTAATTTCTATTAGCTCATTGAAAGAAACAGCATTTATATTGTTTGATCAATCTTACATGCCTATATCAGGTAATCTGAGCAACTACTTCGAAGATA